ATCTATCTATCTATCTAAGTCTCTGTTTATTATCCATCTATTTTAGTCTCTGTTCATATCTATCTATCTATCTATCTATCTATCTATCTATCTATCTATCTAAGTCTCTGTTTATTATCCATCTATTTTAGTCTCTGTTCATATCTATCTATCTATCTATCTATCTATCTATCTATCTATCTATCTATCTCAGTCTGTTTATTATCTCTCTCTATCTATTTCAGTCTCTGTTCATATCTATCTATCTATCTATCTATCTATCTATCTATCTATCTATCTATCTATCTATCTATCTATCTATCTAAGTCTCTGTTTATTATCCATCTATTTTAGTCTCTGTTCATATCTATCTATCTATCTATCTATCTATCTATCTATCTATCTATCTATCTATCTATTACTTTATTCGCTTCCTCCACTTCCCATCCTATCTTCATAGCCTATTTCTTTCCAGATGATCATTTTCGCCCCTTCGTTTCCAGCCATCAATATGTATATTTGTTTTAGAAGGCATGTCTAATTTCTTTTCCTCTCCCTGAACACACATGAATAATGTCCTTCGTTGTTTTACTTGTTTTTTTCTCTTGTTTATTCTATGCAATGCGTTTGCCTTTCGCTGTTGATCTAGAAATGGTGCAGCTGCATCTTGAGATATAGTCTAATCAGATTTAGTTGTCCCCCCAGGACGTTACGGTTTGTCTGCTTAGTGCATTATAAACAAGTTAGACCAGAAGGTTCTTGATCTCCGGCGTTTGGACTTCGTCTGCCAGTCGAACTACTCTTCAGGAATGTTCTTCTGCATGGATAAACATTCAATAAAATAATTCTGAAGGATCATCAAAGGGAAGAGAAAATAAAAAGAAGTAAAACAACGATATATTCCTGCAAAATGGCGTCTCGCAATGAAAAACGTCTCCCAATCGTGCGCATGTGTATAAACGCATACAGAAACCTACTAAAACACATGATCGCTTACCATTTCTCTCTTTTTTATATACTTTTCATACCCTCTCCAGACACATATAAACATAAAAATATAAACCAACACAAGTAGAAACCCTTTATATACATGCATACGCACAGATATATAGACACAATCCCTCTTTCATGTAACTGTATCAATATTTTATACACATGTATATATGTTTGCATGAGGCTGCAAGGATGCATTTATCAGTAGTCTTTCACGTAGATAGTAACGGAGATTTGGTGATATCCGACACCGAATTAAGT